AGTTGGTACAGCATCGGGCAGGAAACCCGGTGGTCGGTCACAGTCAAAATTCTTATTTCACCTTCAATCATCACTCAATAACAATACTCGTCTACCAAACCGCGGCTATCTCAAATAGTCAAAATGATACGTTTTTATGGCTTTTATGAAGCAAACAGCCGACTGCCATTAAACACATGATCCATTCATTCAAAAAGGATGCTGGTTGCTACCCAACCAGTTCATTACTGATGTCTCTACTGCTAGTCATGAATAATACAGGAATGATTCCGAAATCACAAGTTGAATGTTTACATAATAGAAAATAACAGTCGCCTATCAAACAGTGAAGTCATCAAAAGCGATGTTAGGTAAACTCAACGATCCAGTGGTATAGAAGGCCCAGATGACCGTTGTCTAAAAAGCTTATTTTATGAATATCGAAGAGTACCACACTCGACGCACCATCTCTTCAGCAACGTCTACACAGAAATATTTAGGAAGTGAACATGATAAAACATTACCACCTATACTAATGCTTATTGGCTATGATAGACATGATTTCATCTGTGAAAAATGTAACAAGAGTGTTGAACAAAGAATGAAACCAGGGAAATTTAAAAATTATGGAATTCAGAAGAAAAGATGCTCAGCAAATCCTAATTAACATGATTAGTTGGCGACAAGTCACGTTCATCTGAAGACTGAACTAGCCAGATCAGAGCTATCTAAACACCAGGAAGCTGTTCTGGTTTCCTACAGTCAAGCTCAACAGTGAGTATTGAAATATATGTTCAATGGATTGAGACAATCAAGTAAATCTTAATAGACCAGTGTATCATAAGAAGGACAATCACCAATTTTTCAAATTGCTCACAAATCTCAGAGAAAATACTTTTATTTCCAACAGGCGAAAGCCCTAAATCTTATCTAATAACTAAAGTCTAGAAAAAGGATTTTTGAAAAATGTATTTTTACTGTGTGGTTAGCAATATTAATTCATCTGAAATCAGCCATTCATTACAAAGTGATTTCTCACACCTTTGGGTTATCAATGAAATTTTCCACCTGACATACTAAATCAAATTTTTCTCCTTTAGTTTGCTTAAACTATCAATTATGTCCTTCAAACATATCACAAACTCTTGGTGATTTTTAAAATGTTCTGAAATAATCGTTTTTGAAGTTATAACAAAATGAAAGGAAAGTATCATATTAAACATTTGAACATAAAGGGACTTTTGAATGCATAAAAACACATCGTATATCTATTCTTTGGATACATATGTCGAATACTTCATTCTCTTACTGGTTGAATGAATCACTACTACTATGATAATTTTGTTTGGGAAAAAAATTTCCTAGTTTATTACATACTGAGAATTCCATTATTATTATTATTATTAGTCCCTTGGGTTCCTAGTGGAACATAGGGCTTCAGTAGCACGCCTCCAGTGACCTCTGTTCTCTGAGATCTTTTGAACCTGGTTCCACGACAGCCCAGAAGCTCTCATTTCCTCCTCGCACGACCTCCTCCATGTCACCCTCGGACGTCCAACTCGTCGCTTCCCATGGGGATTCCACTCGAGGGCCTGACGCGTGATGTCCTCAGTCGGCCTTCTCAGTGTATGCCCAATCCATCTCCACTTCTTCCTGCATATTTGTTGCGTGATAGGTTCTTGGTTGGTTCGTTCCCAGAGTTCCTTGTTGCTTATTTTTTCTGGCCATCTGATCTTCAGCAGCGAGCGTAAGCAGTTGTTGATGAATGTCTGTAGTTTATTGGAAATGCCTTTCGTGACGCGCCAAGTCTCTGAGCCATACAAGAGCACTGACTTGACGTTGGTGTTGAAAATCCGTATCTTGTTCCGCATGCTGAGTGCAGAAGATCTCCACACTGGTTTCAGGCTAATGAATGCCTGTCTTGCTTTTCCGATTCTGACTTTGACGTCCTCGTCCGTCCCGCCTGTAGTTGAAACAGTGCTTCCTAGATAAGTGAAGGAGGTTACTTCCTTCAAGTTTCTACCGTTGACGGTGATTGGAGTTTGTTGTTGTTGTTGATGGTGGTGGTGCGGTATCTTCATCACTTCTGTCTTCTCTATATTCACCTGAAGTCCCGTCTTAGCTGCCTCCTCTGTCAACTTGTTAGTTTTTGCCTGCAGATCTTCAAGTTTATGTGACATTAGGCATAAGTCATCGGCGAAATCCAAGTCTTCTAGGTTCTTTTCCGTCGTCCAGTGTATCCCCCTCTTCTCGCTGCCTACTGTTTGCTGCATGATCCAGTCCACCACAATTAGGAATATCATGGGGGATAGTAGGCAACCTTGTTTCACTCCTGTCTTCACTTCAAAGGCATCACTGAGCTTCCCATTGTGGATTACTTGGCATGTGGCATCTTCATATAGTTGTTGAATGAGGCGGATAAAGGTTTGCGGTACTCCGTAGTATTGAAGCAGTTTCCAAATTACTTCTCGGTCGACGCTGTCAAAGGCCTTCTCAAAGTCGATGAAGTTGAGGTATAGAGCTGATTGCCATTCTACGCTCTGTTCTATGATGATACGAAGCGTTGCAATTTGGTCAGCACATGATTTGTACTTCCTGAAGCCTGCCTGTTCCGGTCGCAGTTTTGAATCCAGTGCGTCTTTAAGCCTCTCCAGGATGATGCGGCTTAATATTTTACTTGGGGTGGATAGGAGAGTGATTCCTCGCCAGTTCTTGCAAGCACTGAGGTCTCCCTTCTTCGGCAGTTTGACAAGGTAACCCTTCTTCCAATCGTCAGGTACCTTCTCTTCCCTCCACACCTTCTGCAATAGTGGTGTGAGCATGTCCGCTGTTGTCTCTGCATCTGTTCTCAGTGCTTCTGGCGGTATTCCATCTGGTCCTGCTGCTTTCCCGCATTTCAGTAGCTTTATGGCGTTCAGGACTTCCATTTTCGTTGGGGGATTTATGTTCACTTGTAATTCAGCGGCTGCAGGTGGTATTTCTGGACGAAGTGCAGGTGGTGGTCGATTCAAGAGCTTCTTGAAGTGGTCGGCCCATCGTTTCCTCTGTTTCTCTTCTTTTGTAATTAAATTTCCTTCTTCATCTTTTATTGGTTTCATCTGTGTTGGTCTCTTCCCTGATAGCAACCTGGTTATTTGATACAATGTCGTCAGGTCTCTCTTACCTGCAGCCTGTTCTGCTTCACTTGCCAGTGTGTCGTAGAAGTGTCGTTTGTCTTTGCGTGCACTCTTCTTCACTTCTTTATCCAGTGTTTTATACATTGTGCTCAGTTCCTCTTGTCGTTGAGCATCCTTGCACTGGTTTATCTTCTGCTTCACCATCCTCCTCTCCTCTATCAGCTTCCAGGTATCCGTCGAGATCCATTCCTTGTCTTCTTTCTTCTTCCTTCCTAATACTGTTGTGCAGGTTTCTTTCCACATAGCTTTCAAAGACTTCCAGTGTTCTTCTACACAGGTTTCTTCAGGGATGTCCCTCGACGTCTCCCATTTTGTCTTGATGGCTGCTTTGAAGATCTCCTTTGTAGTTTCATCCTTCAGTTTCCGAGTGTTGTACTTGAATTGAGGTCTATCACCAGCTTCCTTGAAGGCTTTTAACTTGATTTCGAAGGTTCCTTGCACTAGATAGTGGTCTGAACCTACATCTGCTCCTCTTCTTGACCTTGTGTTAAGTAGACTGCGTCTCCATTTTCTTGAGATTGAGATAAAGTCGATTTGATTTTTAGTGTGTCCATCTGGTGAAATCCATGTCGCTTTGTGGATATCCTTGTGCCTGAACACACTGCCTCCAATCACCAAATCGTTGAATGCACAGAATTCTGCAAACAATTCTCCATTCTCATTCATTTCACCTAGCGCCTCTCGACCCATGGTTAGTTCTCTTCCCGTGTTGTCCCCTCCCAGTTTGGCATTCATGTCGCCCATTAGAATTTTGATATCGCCAACTGACGTCTTGTCCAGTGTTGACTGAAGTTGTCTGTAGAATTCCTCCTTTTTCTCTTGCTCTGCATTATTTGTAGGTGCATAACATTGTATGATTGTGACCTTTCTTCCTTTTGAGTTGAATCTTGCTGACATGATCCTGGAGGAGATTGGTTCCCACTGCATGAGAGCCTTCGATGCTCTTGAGGACATCATGATAGCCACTCCCTCAGTGTGCTCGTGGTTGGCGTCTGGGTGACCGGAGTAGATTATTGATTCTCCCGTTGACAGTTTGGAGAGTCCACTCCCATTCCATCTGCTTTCGCAAATCCCAAGCACTTCGATGTTATACCTTCTCATCTCCTTTGCAATCTGGGCTGCCTTACTGGGTTCAAACATCGTGCGGACATTCCATGTCCCCACGTTTACTTTCGCTTTCATCGAGAGAAGACACATCGGCCAATTGGCTTCCCGAAGGCTTTCACCAACTGGCGTCATTTCGCCTCTCCGATTCCAGCGGGGAATAAGTTTGTTTTCATTTTTTATATTTTGTTTGTGCTTTGAAGTTTCTTTAGCGGTTAGATTTGTTTTACGGGGTAGGGTTGCTAGCCCTATGCCCAACCTTCCCTCTTTACCCGGGCTTAGGACCGGCTAGTAACTAGTAAACTAGTTAACCAGGCGAGGTTGAGAATTCCATACTGTATCAAATATATTTTTTGGAATAAAGCTATTATTATTAATAATATTATTGTTATTAGATAGTTGTTGGCTCACTACAACCAATGTAGAGCTAACATCTAAACTGGTCGTTCACTGGGGAAGACTTGCACAAGGAACACACTGTCTGTGCTGGCGAATTTAACAGCTAAGCAGTAAATGACTTGCTTTTAAGGGATTAATCATAAATACCTTACTTACAAACCAATTGTCTAATATCAATGCTAATATTATCCGCTACGGCCGTGGTTATGGGTGAATCCAGATTTGTCATAATAGTTGTTTTAGCAAACAAAGTTTCATAGAATCAATCTGCATTAGTTCATATGACAATATATTCATATCATGAAGGAATTAAATCAACTGAAGTGTGTTTATAGTTCTCACCAAGGTTATTGAGTTGAGAGTTAGCTTTCTGTGACATTGACTTGGAATGTAGTGATGACAAGAATGAAGATGATCCATCTGTAGGCAAGCTCATTTCATTTTTTTCAGACAAATATACTTCTAGAGCGTCAGTCGCGTACAATAATACCACTAAAAAAAGCATGAGTAACCATAGTTTCATCAATATATTCCCAAATAATCTTCTGTACATGAAAACCATGTTGAACAAAATCTCTTTCAATGTTATTCGTAAATTCCTGTTTATGATCTCATGTCAGTTTCATTTTGAAGTCATCAAAACGGACTACACACGTATTCATTTATTAATAATATAGAACTGGACTCTGATTATGTATATACAAGCTGTTGTCTAAATAACGTAACTTATCAACATCTGATTAGGTTAACTAGAGGTGTGTACCTATATGTGTATGTGAGTATGTGTGTGGGGGGGGGAGAGCGAGAGCGGTGAATGCATTGTAGACACTAAAACTTTTAACTTCAGTGATGCCTGTAAACTGAAACAAACCATTAGTAATCATTACATGACCCGTTTAAAGTGTGTGTGTGTGATTAACTGTAATCTTCATTCAGACATTTGTCATCCTACCATCTATGCAGTCAACCACACACCTTATTTAGGTCAACAAAATTTAATGTCTAGCTTCACTTTTAGCTTCTTTTCCAAATTGTTTATCGATTTTGGCATCTGCTGTATTTTGACTTGTCCCACCAAATGGTATATAACAAGTGTATTTTCACGGAGTGTTGAACGCTGACTGAAGTTTACTTATCAGACCGTAAGGTTAAAACAATCAGATAAAAATGTGATCTGTATGCCCTAATAGAATAAACCGTTGGCTACTTCCGACGACTAGGTAGAATTTTCAGATACATCATTAACCTTTCAAACAAATTAGGCTGTTTTTGTGAAGCAACTTTAAAGGTCATCCTGTCAACGACTAAATTAACTACTTACTTTTGTCTATTTCAACTGCAAAGGGTGGCCTGTAGAGTTACTCTTTTGCGTGCTATTTTTGGAAATCAGTTGTGAATTAAATTAATGGCACTAAGGATTGACTAGATGTGTTACCCTTAAATGACGCATAAGAATAGTGATTTTAATTGCAATGTGTATATTTCAGACAATCTCACCAAGCAGTTAACGCAAGCTTAATCGTACACCATTGTGTTTGTATTTACACTAACATAGTTACAGTAACATACGCTGAATCCTCGACAGACTGAAAGATACTCTGGATTCAAGTGAATTACGACCGGAACAGGCTGCCGGCTGGCTGGCTTCAGGAAAAACAAATCATGTGCCGATCAAATTGCAACGCTATGCGTCCTAGAACAGAGCATACAATGGCAGTCAAGTATATCGTAACCTCAACTTCATCGACTTTGAAAAGGCCTTCTTTCGAGGCGTCTACCGAGAAGTAACTTGCTGCTTCAAAACTACGGTTTTAGTACGAGAAACCTTCTCAACCTCATTAATCAGTTATATGCTGTGAGAAGCAACATGCCAAGTGATACACAATGGATAGCTTAGTCATAAATTTGAAGTGAAGACATGGGTCAGGAGTAAGACAAGGCTGCCGCCTACTATCACCGATGATCAACCTGAATGTGATCGACTTGCTTGGACCGGATAATGCAAAGAACCGTCAGGAGATCGAAGTAGGGGATACCCTGCCCCGAAGCATAAAAACATAAAAAACATAGATTAAAATTTCGCCGATGATGATTTGTGCATTATGTCCCGCAAACACCACGATCCGCAGAAAAAACAACAAGTTGACAAGGGAGGTATGGCCCCAAAAAACACAAGAATAAATTCACGTCACCTAAAAGAAGGCAAGCGCGGCGATGATATTCAAAGAATAAACAAAACACAAAAAAGAAAAGAAATTCAACCAACAAAAAAAACAGCGAAACAAAAAAACAAATTACAAATAAACTAAAAAAACAATTAGAAAAATAACGGCGCCAGCGTAAATCGAAACACCTCATATATTTCGATATATCACATCCACAAATAGCTTCATCACCACGTAGGCTTGTTCAAATCTGGTCCACGAGCACACGCTATCACCAGAAGATGCTTGCGTGCACGTCCAGGCTGTCGCACCGACACACAGCCACACACACTATGCGGCATACAATAGGACGTGCACACCGTCACTCGCAAGGACACACGAAGGCAGTGAGAGACAGTATGATCCAGTGAACAAGAGTGCTGAGGCGGGAGGCAGGCAAAGATGGGACAGACAGAGAGACAGAAAAACAGGTAGGTGGGCAGGCAGCAGACAGTCGCACAGATATAGTGGTAGACATAGAGTAGTGTGAGTGGAGACTTGCGTGTGGGCTAACTCTTCGACAGGCTGGTTGGTTGTCCGACCTACTCGATGTGTGGGTATGATTTGGATTGTGCTTGACTTGAGTGTAGGTGCGTTTGTTGTGCCAGTCATGGTTAGCTTTGTGCTGGTGAATTTGAGTGAGTATGTGGAGAGGAGAGTGATGGATGACCGGTGACCAGTGTGTGTGCCGGCAAATGATGTCAGTGAGACGAGTGTGAGGTGGAGTCAGGCCTGATGGTGTAGGACACAACACACCACCTGTGACCACCAGTCGGCACTTGAAGTCAACAATTACACTGGGGATAGGGGAATCAGACGGCTAAGGCTAGTCCACATGGCCTCACCTGTCGTGCAAGAAGCACGAAACGCCTATCATCACGCTGTCAATGAACACCTTAGAGAAGGCATCATCAACCTAGACTATCCCAACCGATAACACACTCTCATCACACACCACACTCAGACGCAACACCATGTCGCAAATCAATCATTTGCAAACTAACCACAAATCCACAAACAACACACACCTTCCTCACACCACTAACGTGGACACACTCACACCGGTACACAAACTTCAACCACACACACATACCACAACCCACAGACAACAAACCACCCATCAACGCCATCCTCACACACTACTCAAATGCCGACATTTCAGTAGGCCAAACACTCCACAATTAAAAATACAGCACACCACACTGCATGCTGAATAAAACGGATGACATACACCGAGAACTGCACACCTGACAACACACAGGACATCACTCACGTGCCTATCACACCGCATCACATCATTAACAAACCTACACACTGCACACACCACTCACACACACACACACACACACATCCTCGCCAGCATACCCACTCAGTGACTACAACACAACCGGAAGACAACCAAAACTGTAACAACACCAACAACGAGATCAACTACAACTGCAAACACAACGACAAATATCACATCGACCATCAAGATCAGGGACACGCAAAATTCAGACCAACACAAAAACAAACACAAACAGAACGTCAACGACAACGACAACCAGTGATACATTCACCTGCACGTCAAAGCCCAAGTCAACGTCCACGTCCGCACCTACGTCTGTGTCTGCGTCTGCGTCTGCGTCTGCGTCTTCGTCTGCGTCTGCGTCGAGCAACTACACCAAAACCATGTGCTCCTACATCAGCCACGCAGCGACACAAATAGAAACAGCACTAACACTAGCAACAGCAACAGCAACAGAAAACGCAGCAGCAACAACAGCATCAACACAAACACCAACCTAACAACACAGCTCATAATACACCACAACTGACACAACCACTAAACAAGCATCATCAAGACACAGAGCAGATTACGTATCACACACTACGGTCAACAATAATATAATAACAGTACTGTCATGTCGTATACCATCAGGACAACTACTACAAACAATACAGACATCACCACCACAACCATCAGGACTGGTGTCACTGCACTAACCACGCCCACCCCCATTATCAATACTACTCCAATCCCACCACCAATACCATGGGTAATTCGAGTAACACCAGTGGTCAACGCCAATGACCACATCTCATACATCTCGGTGTATTACCTCCACTAATACCTTCATCACCACGTAGGCTTGTTCAAATCTGGTCCACGAGCACACGCTATCACCAGAAGATGCTTGCGTGCACGTCCAGGCTGTCGCACCGAACACACAGCCACACACACTATGCGGCATACAATAGGACGTGCACACCGTCACTCGCAAGGACACACGAAGGCAGTGAGAGACAGTATGATCCAGTGAACAAGAGTGCTGAGACGGGAGGCAGGCAAAGATGGGACAGACAGAGAGACAGAAAAACAGGTAGGTGGGCAGGCAGCAGACAGTCGCACAGATATAGTGGTAGACATAGAGTAGTGTGAGTGGAGACTTGCGTGTGGGCTAACTCTTCGACAGGCTGGTTGGTTGTCCGACCTACTCGATGTGTGGGTATGATTTGGATTGTGCTTGACTTGAGTGTAGGTGCGTTTGTTGTGCCAGTCATGGTTAGCTTTGTGCTGGTGAATTTGAGTGAGTATGTGGAGAGGAGAGTGATGGATGACCGGTGACCAGTGTGTGTGCCGGGCAAATGATGTCAGTGAGACGAGTGTGAGGTGGAGTCAGGCCTGATGGTGTAGGACACAACACACCACCTGTGACCACCAGTCGGCACTTGAAGTCAACAATTACACTGGGGATAGGGGAATCAGACGGCTAAGGCTAGTCCACATGGCCTCACCTGTCGTGCAAGAAGCACGAAACGCCTATCATCACGCTGTCAATGAACACCTTAGAGAAGGCATCATCAACCTAGACTATCCCAACCGATAACACACTCTCATCACACACCACACTCAGACGCAACACCATGTCGCAAATCAATCATTTGCAAACTAACCACAAATCCACAAACAACACACACCTTCCTCACACCACTAACGTGGACACACTCACACCGGTACACAAACTTCAACCACACACACATACCACAACCCACAGACAACAAACCACCCATCAACGCCATCCTCACACACTACTCAAATGCCGACATTTCAGTAGGCCAAACACTCCACAATTAAAAATACAGCACACCACACTGCATGCTGAATAAAACGGATGACATACACCCGAGAACTGCACACCTGACAACACACAGGACATCACTCACGTGCCTATCACACCGCATCACATCATTAACAAACCTACACACTGCACACACCACTCACACACACACACACACACACACATCCTCGCCAGCATACCCACTCAGTGACTACAACACAACCGGAAGACAACCAAAACTGTAACAACACCAACAA